TTCTCATTTGGACCTAGGGAGTTACGTCCAGTGTTCCAATGTGGGTCTCTGTCTCTATCTCCATCCATCGCCAGATGAAGGTTCTATGGTGATAAGCAAAATATTCATCAGTATGGTTATGGGCCAAGGCCGGTTCAGGCACCCTCTCCTCTGTCCAGAGAATAATCTGGGGATCTCTCCAGAGATTGGAAATAGACAAGAGTCCCAAGTAACCTTGGGTGCATGGGGGGTGGGAGGGTTGTTGGAAGGGGAGAGGGTTAGAGAGAAGGGAGTAGGGGAGGAATGGGGAAAGCTCGGGGACTGGGATGGGGGAGAGGGATGAAGGGTGGATATGGGATCAGGGAAGAATATTTCTCAACTGAGGGAGTCATTTTAGGGTTTACAAGAGACTTGATTATAAATGGGATCCCAGGTCCAAGGAGTAACATACCTTTTGGCTTCAATTTTGAAGTCAAGCTATTTTCAAAATACCTATCTTGGATTAATTCAGCAGATATTTATAAATAAATATCTTTTTGGAAGCTGTTGCTCCTTCCTCAGCATTCAGACAATTCAAAGAGAACATGATAACATACAGTATCCAGACTCTCTTTGTATTTTTTCATCTTTATGTGGCTTTATTTTTGCTTCTATTTCTTTTATTTTTCATTTTTGTCCTTTTGAGACAGGTTCTCTGTGTATCTTACGCTGTCCTGGAACTCCCTCTCTAGACCAGGCTGTCCTTGAACTCACAGAGATCTGCCTCCCTCTGTCTCTGAAGCGTTAGGATTAAAAGTGTGTGCCACCACACTTTGAATTCACAGAGATCTGTCTGCCTCTGTCTCTCAAGTGTTGAAATTAAAGGTTTATGCCACCATACCCAACTACTCTCTTTTTTTTATTTTAAGGAATTTAAACTTTTTCTTTCCTCTCTCAAGTGTGCATATATGTTTAACACACTGTAAGTCATTTAGAGGTTTTTTCTTCAATGAATCTCTCTTTACTGCATATCTCTTTTTATATGGTCTTGATTTAATTTTGGTAAGTGATATTTCTACAGAAAGTTGCCCATTTCCTCTAAGATTTTCCAATTTTGTGGAGTACAGATGTTTGAAATATGTCCTGATGATTCTCTGAATTTCCTCCATGTCTGTTGTTATGTTCCCCTTTTCTTTTATGATTTTGTTAATTTGAAAATTATCTCTCTGTCTTTTGGTTAGTTTGGATAAAGGTTTGTCTATTTTGTTAATTTTTATTGAAGCAGCAACTCTTTCTCTCATGGATTCTTTGTATTATGCTGTTTGTTTCTATTTTGTTGATTTCAGATTTCATATTTGATTATTTTTTGTCATCATTTCTCTTGGATGAGTTTGCTTCTTTTTGTTGCAAAGTTTTCAAATGTTCTGTTAATTCACTAGTGTGAGTTTTTTCCTGCTTTTTTATGTAGGCATTTAGTGCTATGAACTTTCCTCTTCACACTGATTTCATTGTGTCCCATAAATTTGTGTATCTTGTATGGTCATTTTCATTGAATTTTAAGAAGTCTTTAATTTATTCCTTTATTTCTTTCTTGACCCATTGATGATCTAGGAGAGCATTGTTTAATTTCCATATGTTTGGTGGCTTTCTTGAACTAGTATTGCTGCTGAATTCTAGTTTTATATGAGTTAATCCATTTTTTTGTATCTGCTGAGATTTGTTTTGTTACCTAGTATGTGGTAAATTTTTGATAAGGTCCTGTGAGGTGCTGAGAAGAAGCCATATGCTTTGTGTTTGGATAAAATATTCTATTGATGTCTGGTAAGTCCATTTGAGTCATAACCTCTATTAGTTCCCTTATTGCTTTGTTCATTTTTTGTCTGACTGACCTTTCTAGTGGTGAGTTTAGAGTGTTGAAGTCTCCCACTATTTATATATTGGGTTTAATGTATGATTTAAGCTTTAGAAGTGTTTCTTTTACATATGACGGTGACCTTGTATTTCAGACATAGATGTTCAGTTTTGAGATTTCCTTTTGATGGATTTTTTTCCTGTGACTAATATGAAATGTCCTTCTTTGTCTCGTTTGATTGATTGTAGTTTGAAATCTACTTTTCTAGAAATTAGTAAGAATATACCAGCTTGTTTCTTAGGTCTATTTGATTGGAAACTTTTTTCTCAACCTTTTACTCTGAGGTGATGTCTGTCTTTGAGGTTGAAGTGTGTTTCTTGCATTTGAGACATTCTTTTTCAAGAGTCTCTTTTTTTTCCATGAAAGTACCTAAGATACATTCCTGTTGTATAACACAGGACCCTAAACCATAAAATTCAGAGAGAAAAAACAGTTTTGGGTTCGTAGTCCCATAATGATACAGTACTTCATGGCAGGCATGTCAATGCAACAAGAATTTGAAGCAACTGGCACATTGCTCCTGGAATAAGGAGACAGAGCAACAACAGAGAGTAGGACCAGGCTAGAAAGCCTCTAAAGCCTCTTGCAAGTGAACAACTTTTACCAGCAAAATCTACACATCCTATAAGTTCTATGACCTTTTCAAATAACAAAAAACTGGACCGAGATTCAAACCAAGGACCCCAGGGTGACTGTTTTCCATTCAAACAAAAAAATTCCAGCCACAATTCCATTTGCTTATGGTGCCCATTTCATGCATAGAAAATTCAGTATAACTTTTAAAGCCTCATTGTCTTAATCAGTCCCAGTACCAGCCAAAAGTCAAAAGTCTCAAAATAGAATCCCTAAATAGTAACAGACACAAGGTCAACCTTAAATTGCGATACTGCCTGAATAATAAAATGTTTGAATGTTTTCTACCTCTATCATGCAGCGACACAGAGCAATCATTTCCAGTCCAACAAGAAGAAAGAGCATAGAAGATACATTGGACAAAGTAAGTACAGTATCCAGGAGACATAACATCAAATGCTACAGCTCCATGTCCAGCCCATGACATGAAAAGGAATCATCTAAGCAACAACAGGCTTGCAGTCCTCATCTCTGCAACTCCACTGCCTGTGGCACATACAACCACTGTGCTGTGCCAACTCGATTCCATGTGTGCAGCTGTCCTCAGCAGATATCCCATGGTTCTTGAACCTCCTATTCACCAGGGTCTCCACTGCTTTGCCTTCATAACTTTCCACAAAGTGCGCTCAGAACCCCTTTGGAAGGATTCTGAACATGACACATGTTGTCTGGAGTGATGCTTGTTATGAACTCCCTCAATCTTTCAACTTTCATTCCATCAAAGAAAGAACCACAAGGGTGGTGTTGGCAAGTCCTGCAGCCAGCATTAGATGCATTCTGTACCCTTGCACCACTATTATATTAGCTTCTTAGATTCTAAGAAAGCATTCTGCTAGGCTGGTGTTTGCCAGGATCCAAAAACTATTTCTTCTTTAAGATTGGGCGCTATGGTTTCATCATACCTATCTGTATTTTCATTCTTTGGATTCATTCATGGGTGAGCTTTTTCTCCCCTCAAAGCACCTGTCACAGAATACTTCTAGGTCATCCTTATTCACAACATCTCTGTAACAGTGGGAGACAGACTTCAAATCCATATTTTTCTTTTCTCCTAACATTCTAAACTCTCATTTGAATGCATATGAGACTCTGCATGCAGCAGAAAAGGGCTTCTCTTGTCCAATATTTCAAATTAATTTATGTTCTTATTATAAAGAAATTCCAAAGGCCTAAGAAACACAGATGAAAACAATCACAACAACAGCCCTGCTTTGTGGCAATCTTCTGTCTGAACTGCTTTAGGTAAAAGGTAAAGCATGGATTAAGATTTGCAGTTCCTGGAGACAACAGTACCTGTGGCCAGGACTAAAACAGTGACCACATTGTATGCACACTCAGGAAGCAGAGCAAAAATAAGAAGTGAGGTGGGGCTATAGAAACTCTAAGCCTGTTTGTGCTGACCCACCTCCTCCAGCAGAACTGTGTTCCTGAGAATTCCATAGCATTTCTAAACAGTGACACCAGATGGGAACTAAGTGCCCAATGTGAGATTTTCTGGTGTCTTTTCTCATTCACTATATAATAGTGTTTCTCTTTTTCCCTTCAGAAGTCTGTGTAAATAGTAATAGTCATGTTTTCATATATTCCACATAGCGGTTTTTGTGTCTGTAACTGTTCATCTAGTTTACTTCTCATATTGTATCATCATCCAGAGAAATATTGGTCACGACAAGCATATTCCTAGTTGATGCCATTGACTTCATTTGGCCCAGGACATGAAGCACAGTACATCTGTTCATCTTACTCCTAATCAAATGCCTTTGGGAATCGTGGCCAGAAGATGTACCCAGATGTCTGACTCTGAGCCACATGCCATATGTGAAATATGTGGAAAAAAAGCGATAAGCGCAGGCAGCAAAAAGACAATTTATAAAAATATAAAGTTTCCTTCTTAGGTTTTATGAAAACCAAAATGTTTATTGTGATATTTAATATTTTAACTTGAAAATTTCCATGGATATAAAATAAATATTTTTCTCTATCAGGTTTCTCTTAAATGCCAGGTATCTACATTTAAGTGCTTGGATGTTTTTCTTCCATGTCATATGATACATAAGGATTATTTACCTATATACACATAATAGAACTAAAGATTATTTAAATAAACTTTGCTTAGAAAATGATTAGGGGGAAACAATAGGTGTTAAACCAATATATTATGCTCCTAAATTGAATTTTGATAAAAATAAACTCCAAGAGTTGTAATATTTATCTTAAACCAAAAATTTATTAATTAAAGAATTAATTGCTTAGTGAAGAAAATTTCACAGAGAGCTTGAATTTTAAAACAACAAATGGCTGGGATTAGCTATTAATGTCCTCATAAACTATTCTATAATGATGTGACTAAGACAGACTTTCACAATCTAGCTTTTATTCTTTTGAGGAAAAATATGTGAAATTTTGATTTTATGCAAAACACAGGGTCAAATTTTGTAATGCATTCCTGAAAGAGAGGACATGTTAACAAAAATTTAAAGTGATAATCAAATGATTATCATTTTATAATTCTTTTCAGTGCACCTAAAACTTCTTTGTTTCTTTTTTCCCTTATTTATTTATTTATTTAAAGAATTTCCATTTCCTCCCCTCCTCCCAATACCCTCCCGCTCCCCCCACTCCCTCTCCTCCTCCCTCACCATTCCCAAGAGCAGTCAGGGTTTCCTGCCCTGTGGGAAATCCAAGTTCCTCCCCCCTCCCTCCAGGTCCAGGAAGGTGAGCATCCAAACAGGCCAGGATCCCCAAAAGTCAGTCCATGCAGACGAAACAAGACCCAGTGCCATTGTCAATGACTTCTCAGTCAGCCCCCATGTCAGCCACATTCAGAGAATCTGGTTTGATCACATGCTCGTTCAGTCCCAGGCCAGCTGGCCTTGGTGAGCTCTCATTCGATCAGTCCCCTTGTATCAGTGGGGGAACGCACCTTTCGCGGTCCTGACTTCTTTTTAATGTTCTCCTTCCTTCTGCTCTTCATTTGGACCTTGGGGGTTCAGTCCAGTGCTCCAATGTGGGTCTCCGTCTCTATCTCCATCCATCGTCGGATGAAGGCTCCCTCTGGTTCTGCTTTACTTGCTCACGAACTCCCTCCCTCTACTTCTCATTTGGACCTAGGGAGTTAAGTCCAGTGTTCCAAAATGTGTCTCTGTCTCTATCTCCATCCTTCGCCAGATGAAGGTTCTGTGGTGACATGCAAAATATTCATCAGTATGGTTATGGGCCAAGGCCAGTTCAGGCACCCTCTCCTCTGCTGCCCAGGAAACAATCTGGGGACCTCTCCTTGGGCCTGGGAACGCCTCCAAAATCAAGTCTCTTGCAAACCCTAAAATGACTCCCTTAGTTGAGATATAAACTTCCCTGCTCCCATAACCATCCTTCCTCCCTTCCCCCTCCCATTCCCCCAAGTCATCACCAATCCTACCCCCTCTCCTCTCTCCTCTCCCTAACCATCTCCTCTTACTCCCCCCACCACGTGCACCCAAGTTTGCCTGGCTACAGTATTGAAAACAGCTTGGTATTGGCATAAGAACAGAGAAGTCAACCTATGAAATCGAATAGAAGACCCGGATATTAACCCACAAACCTATGAACACCTGATTTTCGACAAGGGAGCTAAAGGTATAAAATGGAAGAAGGAAAGCATCTTTAACAAATGGTGCTGGCACAACTGAATGTCATCCTGTAGAAGAATGAAAGTAGATCCATATATATAACCATGCACAAAACTCAAATCCAAATGGATTAAAGACATCAACATTAGTCTGTCCTCTTTGAACCTGATAGAAGAGAAATTGGGAAGTAGTCTACAAGATATAGGCACAGGAGACCACTTCCTAAGCAGAACCCCAGTAGCACAGACAATAAGAGAAACAATGAATAAATGGGACCTCCTGAAACTGAGAAGCTTCTGTGAAGCAAAGGACACTGACAGTAAGACAAAAAGGCTACCTTTGAACTGGGAGAAAATCTTCACCAACCCCTCATCAGACAAATGTCTGTTCTCCAAAATATATAAAGAACTCAAGAAACTAGATACTAAAACTCTAATTAACCCAATTAAAAAATGTGGTACTGAACTGAACAGAGAATTCACAACAGATGAACTTCGAATGGCCAAAAGACACTTAAGGTCATGCTCAACCTCCTTAGCGATCAGGGAAATGCAAATCAAAACCACTTTGAGATACCATCTTACACCTGTCAGAATAGCTAAACTCAAAAACACCAATGATAGCCTATGTTGGAGAGGATATGGAGTGAGGGGAATACTCATCCATTGTTGGTGGGACTGCAAACCTGTGCAGCCACTGTGGAAATCAGTGTGGCGGTTTCTCAGGAAACTAGGAGTTAACCTCCCTCAGGACCCAGCAATTCCACTCTTAGGAATATACCCAAAAGATGCCCTATCATACTACAAAAGTATTTGTTCAACTATGTTCATAGCAGCACTATTTGTAATAACCAGAACCTGGAAACAACCTAGGTGCCCCTCAATAGAAGAATGGTTAGAAAAGGTGTGGAACATATACACATTAGAGTTTTACTCAGCGGTAAAAAACAATGACATCCTGAATTTTGCGTGCAAATGGATGGAAATAGAAAACGTTTTACTCAGTGAGGGAACCCAGACCTAAAAAGAGGAATATGGTATGTACTCACTCAAAAGTGGATTTTAGCCATAGTTAAAGATCTTTGAGTCTATAATTTGTGATCCAAGAGAACCTAAATAAGAAGGTGAACCTGAAGAAAATCATATAGTTATCCTCTTGGATATTAGAAGTAGGCAAGATTGCCAGGCAAACTTCTTTGTTTTGTAAACTATAAATAATAGGGTTTAGCAGAGGAATCAAAACTGTGTAGAACAGTGAATACATTTTATCCTGGATTTTACCTGGTCCAGACCCAGGACTCACATACATGAAGAGGAGAGTGCCATAGAACAAAGAGACAAAGAGCAGGTGCCCACTACAGGTGAACGAGGCTTTCTTTCTGCCCTTCTTAGACTTCATGTTCAGGACAGCAAATAGGACACGGGCGTAAGAGACTACAATGGCCACAGAGGTGTTGATTTGTATGGAAGAAGCAATAATAAAAGTCACCAATGCATGAAGTGATGGATCAGTGCAAGAGAGTGTATAGAGTGGCAAGATTTCACAGTAGAAATGATCAATAATATTAGACCTACAGAATGTTAATCTGGATAACAGTCCTATAAGAATTGCAGGATTTATTTTATTTTTTTATTTTTTTTGAAAGTAATTTTATTAAATTATAAACGTTTCCATTTACGCCCCTCTTCCCAACACCCTCCCACTCCCCCCCTCCCTCTCCTCCTCCCTCTTTGTCCCTAAGGGCAGTCAGGGTTTCCAGCCCTGTGGGAAGTTCAAGTTCGTCCCCCCTCCCTCCAGGTCCAGGAAGGTGAGTATCCAAACAGACTGGATCCCAAAAATCCAGTATATGCAGAGGAAACTAGTCCCAGTGTCATTGTCAATGGCTTCTCAGAAAGACTCCGGGCCAGCCACATCCAGAGAATCCGGCCACATTCAAAGAATCTGGTTGAATCACGGGCTCGTTCAGTCGCAGTCCAACTGCCCTTGGTAAACTCTCATTAGATTCGACCCCTTGTATCAGTGGGTGATAGGATCCCTCGCAGTCCTTCGTCATTTTCTCCGTCCTTCTGCTCCTCATCTGGACCTTGGGGGGCTCAGTCCGGTGCTCCAATGTGGGTCTCCGTCTGTATCGACATCCATCGCCAGATGAAGGATCTATGGTGATAAGCAAAATATTCATCAGTATGGTTATGGGCCAAGGCCGGTTCAGGCACCCTCTCCTCTGTCCAGAGAACAATCTGGGGATCTCTCCTTGGACCTGGGATCACATATATAATCAAGTTTCCTATAAACCCTAAAATGACTCCCTTAGTTGAAATATATTCTTCCCTGATCCCATATTCATCCTTCCTCCCTTCCCCCCATCCCGGACAACCGAGCTTTCTCCATTCCTCCCCTACTCCCTTCTCTCTAACCCTCTCCCCTTCCAACAACCCTCCCACCCCCCCCCCCCCGTGCACCCAAGGTTACCTGGGACTCTTTACTATTTCCTACCTCCTGGCGGATAGCTAAATAATCTTCATCAGGTTCGTCTTCTTATTTAGCTTCTCTAGGATCACGAATAATAGGCTCAAAGACCTTTAAATTATGGTTAGAATCCACTTATGAGTGAATACATACCGTGTTCCTCTTTTTGGGTCTGGCTTACCTCACTCAGTAAAGCGTTTTCTATGTCCATCCATTTGCATGCAAAATTCAAGATGTCATTATTTTTTACCGCTGAGTAAAACTCTAATGTGTATATGTTCCACACCTTTTTTAACCATTCTTCTATTGAGGGGCACCTAGGCTGTTTCCAGGTTCTGGCTATTACAAATAGTGCTGCTATGAACATAGTTGAACAAATGCTTTTGTAGTATGCTAGGGAATCTCTAGGGTATATTCCCAAGAGTGGTATTGCTGGGTCCTGAGGGAGGTTGACTCCCAGTTTCCTGAGAAACCACCACACTGATTTCCACAGTGGCTGCACAAGTTTGCATTCCCACCAACAATGGATGAGTGTTCCCCTCACCCCACATCCTCTCCAGCATAGGCTATCATTGGTGTTTTTGACTTTAGCTATTCTGACAGGTGTAAGATGGTATCTCAAAGTGGTTTTGATTTAGAAAGCCAATTATATATGACATACTGATTAACACAGTGCAGAGTCTTTTGGACATCACAACTGCATAGTGCAGAGGATTGCATATGGCTACATAGCGGTCATATGCCATCGCAACCAATAGGAAAACTTCTGTGGTTGCACTGAAACAAAAATAGTAATATAGGTTAGAGCACTCACCCAGAGATATCATGCCATTCTTATTTGAAAATTTCATAAGCATCTTTGGAGTCACAGAGGATGTAGTGCAGAAATCAGTAAAGGCTAAATTTCCAAGGAAAAAGTACATGGGAGTGTGAAGATGGGGGTCCTTCCAGATGAGAAAGAATAAGCCAAGGTTTCCTGCCATGGTGATGACATAGATGGAGAAGAACACCAGGAACAGTGGGATTTGCAGCTCTGGACGATCTGTTATTCCTCTGAGGACAAACTTAATCTGCAGTGTCCTGTTTCCTTCTATCACATCCACTCAGGACTCTCACTGCAAAGAGATGATACAAAGAAAACATGACCAAGATGAAATAAGAGTAGTATCATAAGATAGTCCACATTAGTAAATGTCAAATGCTGCTTAGTATATAAGAAGAAAGAGTATTCTTTGTGCTTTTGTATCTTTCCTGACATAGGAAGCATTTTCTAAGCAATTTTTCTGTATATATTTTGTAACATGAAATTATCTGAAAGGTAACTAAGAAGGCCACAGACATTAATTTACCTGGCATTAAGCATATTGCCTTAAGTAACTATAAATCAATTTTAATTTAATATATATTTATACTTTGCTTAATTTAAATACATTTATATATAATATTAATATTAATATTGCTCTTCGTCCTATGATGTTTCTTTTTGTCTCTCAGACGGCATCATTCTACTTCCTTTTCACAAAAACCTTCCAAATGTTCTTGTATGGGAGTAAAACAGTATTAGTTATTTTTGTACAGACATATGAAGAAAATTATGATTTTTGTGTGTGACAATAAACCTGTAACTCTATGTTAATCCATGATGTAACAAGTACTTTATTTTAAGATAAAACACATAGACACACATATATACACAACTTTTTTGTATTAATGATAGATCTAAAAAATATAATTTTTGCAAAAATGAAAAAAATTTTAAAGTTGCCCAGTGAATTTTAAATGCTTTAATATTTCATTTGTAAATGGATTTAAAGCAGTTTTAACAATGTGACTGTGTTTCCTGACACTGAAATTTCCTTGAGAGAGATTGCGAGACTAAAGGTGCTGTGTACTATTGCAGAACACATCAATGTAGAGTCATGGCCAGTCCCTGCAATATCTGCATTGGCATAAGTAATAAATGTTACATCAATATAAAGAATCAAGTAAGTAGAACATGGAACTACCTACCTTATAATGACCACAGAAATAATATGCAAGGCAGAAATTTTCTCAAAGTCACATTTACCCATGAGTCTAATCAGTAAGGACAGTGGTGCTAGATCATAGAATTCAACTTGGGACCACTTTACAATGTTTCTGTAATGCTAATATGCACAGTTTTTGGGCATAAGGTTGTTTGTGTGTTTGCATCACTGTATTGTTGATCTAAAATTGGAGCTTATCACTGGAAATATCAGGCTTCAGGGTCTAAACATCCATTGAAAAGAATAGCCATGAAGTATTCAGACAAGTCCAACAAAATGGATTTCCTACCATCCTGAACTTTAATATTTTGAATGTTAGTAGTCAAATGGAATTATCTAACACCTCCAGTCCATTGAGAAAATGCAAAATAAAAGTATTTCCTTTAGCCTTTCAGGACTATTGTATGTCACATTTATTAGAAAATTTCCTTAAAAGATAGATCCACATGATTATTTTATGCAAATATTCACACATTATAATAAGCTTTTTCCAGTAAGGAGGTTGGACTATTAGAGATGAAAATAAAATTATTTTTCTCACCAAATTATTATGAAAATAGTTACAAGCATAGATGCAATGAAGAATTTTTCTCCATGAAGATACTCAAGCCTCAGCAGCAAGAGTGTCAGTAACAATTGTTCTTCTCAGGTTAATTTTCTTTAAAAAAACAAACTTTAAAGGATATTTATTTCTTATTATCTTTAATACTATTTTTGAATCTAATAGTAAAACTCCTTGAATGCTATGAAAAACTCCCTATAGAATAAAATCAATCTGCTGGGCATTGTTCATTACTCAGGTAATTATGACTAACAAACTTATTGTAGTTGGTCTTACATAGGCTTGCTAGCTTTCTAAAACCCAAATGTTAAAGGTCAGTTATAAATAAGTTTATTAGTTCCACTCACATTCTTTAGATATTTTAGAAGCTATTGACTTACTATCTTACTAACTATTAAATCAATAATAATATTATGCTTACGAAAAATTTTTGTTTCCTAAGTATAGACACTATGTTTTAATATAGATATTACTTACCATTATGGCATTTTTTAAGCATTCTCCTAGAATTTGCATATTAAAGCCAAATTTACTATTTAAGATTCAATAAATATGAAATATATTGCTTCACATCTTTCTTCAAATAAGAACAAATTTTATTTAAATATGATATTTTTCACTATGAATGCAAAACTCAAATATAAAATCAACAAATTTAAAGTGGCTTACTGAAATCAAATATCAGAAAAACGTTTAAAGCAAAGAAAATACATAAGACATAAAGAGAATCCAATCAGACTAGGATCACAAAAAGCCAGTACATGCAGTAGAATCAAATCCCAATGCCATTATCATTGACTTCTCAGTCAGCCCCCATTATCAGCCACATTCAGAGTCCAGTTTGATCACATGCTCATTCAGTCCCAATCCAGCTGGCCTTGGTGAGTTCCCATTAGATCAGTCACACTGTATCAGTGGGTAAACGAACCCCTCGCGGTCTTGACTTGCTTGTTCATCTTCTCTCTCCTTCTCCTCTTCAACTAGACCTTGGGAGTTCAGCACAGTGCTCCAATGTGGGTCTCTGACTCTGTCTCCATTCATCTCTGGAAGAAGGTTCCATGGTGATATGCAAGATATTCATCAATGTGGCTATGGGACAAGGCCAGTTCAGGTACCCTCTCCTCTACTGCCTAAGGACCTAGCAAGGACATTTCCTTGGACACCTGGGAACTCATCTAGAGCCAAGTCTCTTGCCAACCCTAAAATGACTCCCTTAATTAAGATATCTTCTTCCCTACTCCCATATCCACCCTTCCTCCATCTCAGCCATCCCACTCTCCCAAGCTCTCCCTAATCCTCCCCTTCTCCCTTCTCTCTTCCCTTCTCCCCTACTCCCTACTCCAACCCAGGGTCTTGGAGGGGGGAGGGCCCTGAAGGGGGGAAGGACTTTGACTTCCCACAGGGCAGGGTACCCTGACCTCACTTAGGACTGGATGAGGAGGAGAAGGGGGAGGGAAATGGGCGGAGGAGAAAAGGTGGAAATTTTGAATGGTATTATAAAGCAAAAAAATAAAATAAAATGTTTGAATAAAAAAACAGAACTGTGGAAATGGTCATACAATTCTGTAAGTTTATTAAAACTATTGACCGGAACATTAACAAAGGGTATTTGTATTATCTAAATTAGACCTTGATGAAATAATTATGGTGATTATGATGTTGATTATAATTAGTAATAATATAATTAAACACACATTTGAAATTTCAATAAAAAAGACATGAAGAGAAATAAATTTCTTCAAACACACTGATTACTGCTGAATGCTGGTAACATTTTCATGCATTCATCTTCCTCCTACCCATCCATTTGTTTCCACTTGTATATATGGTATTCATATGTACTGTCAAAATTAAAATGATGTGAATATTTTTAGATTTTCTTTAAAAATAAGTGGCATATTTTCTAATCTCCTAACTTGAAAATTTATGGGTGTTGTCGGGGTTTCTGTCCTGCCCAGTTCCCGCAATCTAAGTCCCAAAGAAACCACACAGTGGTCTACATTAATCATAAACTGATTGGCCCATTAACTCAGGCTTCTTCTTAACTCTAATAACTTACATTAATCCATTATTTATCTATGTTAGCCACATGACTCTGTACCTTTTTTAGTGAGGCAGTCACATCTTCCTTCTTCTGTGTCTGGGCAGGACTGCAGAGGAATGGGCTTCCTCCTCCCAGAATTCTCCTGCTTTCATTGAAACTGCTTCTACTTCCTGTCTGGTTGTCCCACCTATACTTCCTGCCTGGCTACTGACCAATCAGCACTGATTTAAAATAAAATTGACAGAATATAGATCACCATCCTACACCATATGGGCTTATTTTTCCTCATAATAGAAACTTTATGAATGCATTCCCATACCTAAACCTCAGGGAACATTGTAGGAGAAAGGCAGATATTTTGTAGGAGCTGGAGTATCAGAACATTTGCTGTGAGGTATGTCTCCTCAGAATATCAGAAGAAACATCCAAAAACTCTCAAGAACATTGCTGGAAAATTTGTGTTGAGTAAAAATAACACCAATGAAAATGCAAAACAAGATCCACAAAAGCCCATGAGACCTCAGTCCTATTTAAAGAAATATAGCCTATTGTGGAGAGCTGAGAGCAGCAGATGTGGTCTTCCTCAGGTAAAGGCACACAGACTGGTTGTCTAGTGCAATGATCAGCCTGAAAAAAGTACATAAAATAAACAGTATATGTACCTGGTCATTCTTTGGACGGACTATTCCTGAATAATGACATGGAGACTTCTAATACTTAATTATAAAAGCTAGGCCTTAGCTTAAGCGTGCTTCCAACTAGCTCTTAAAAAATGAACTCATTTAACAAAAGGTACTGGTATAATTGGATATCACCATGTAGAAAGAAGAATGAAAATAGATCCTTATCTATTACCATGCACAAAACTCCAGTTCAAATGGATCAAAGACCTCAACATAAGCCAGTCACACTGAACCTCATAGAAGAGAAAGTAGGAAGTACAATTGAATGCATTGGCACAGGAGACCACTTCCTAAATATAACCCCAGTAGCACAGAAACTGAGAGAAACAATTAATAAATGGAACCTCCTGAAACTGAAAAGCTTCTGTAACCCACAGGGCACAGTCAACAAGACAAAACAACAGCCTACAGAATAGGAAAATATCTTCACTAAGTCATATCAGACAAAGGTCTGATCTCCAAAATATACAAAGAATTCAAGAAATTGGTCGTCAAAAGAACAAATAATCCAATAAAGATGGAGTACAGACCTAAATAGAGAACTCTAAGCAGAGGAATCTAAAATGGCGTAAAAAGACTTAAAGAAATATTCAACATCCTTAGTCATCAGAGAAATGCAAACCAAAACATCTCTGAGATTCTATCTGTAAGAATGGCCAAGATCAAAACACTGATGACAGCTTATGCTGGAGAGGTTGTGTTGTAAAGGGAACACTCCTGCATTGCTGGTGGGAATACAAACTGGTACAGCCCCTTTGGATGTCAGTGTGGTAATTTCTCAGAAAATTAGGAAACAACCTAAAATTGTCAAGCTTTTAGTCATATTAGATTTTCTAGATATATAGAGATATACTTCAGTTACATAGGTATTTTTAAGATCTTTCAAAGAACTTCAGAATATGGCATTTAAATGTTTTAAACATTTAGAACTTTTCAAGACAGTGAGACACAGCTGCTCCTGGCAGCACCAATCTACTTCAAGAGGACGATGGGCATCGAAGAGGGTCATTATGAAGTATGTTAGATGAACTGGACAGGCAGGATTCACAGAGAAATGACTGCTGAACTTGCCTAAAGGTGAAACGGTCCTCCATGGTTCCTGTGTCATAAAAGACTCTGCTAGACATTCTGCAAGACACAGAAGAAAGTGACTGTCAAACTGCCAATATAGACAGAATTATCTTTAAAATTGTATGCTTCATGTAAAAGTCTGCAAGATACCATGGATCTGTAGGCTGAAGATGGATGCCCCAATGGTACAGAAGAACTTTGGGTGATTGTCTAGGTAGGTAGATGTCTCTGTCAATTCTAGAGTTTTGGAAGCTGCTTACAATGCACTTCCTGTTTTCTTAGGTAATATTATATCCTTCTGGAGTCTTTGATGAATTTGAAGAATCTAAAATTATAGTTACAGTTTTCCTTATCTAGGATAAAAGATAAAGTAGATATAAATATTGTAATTGTAATTTTTATTTGATACCCGTTTTGTTACATGTAATTTTATTATGTTAACATTAAAGCCTTCCTTTTTGTTTAAACAGAAAAGGGGAAATGGTGTGGGAGGTCTTTCTGTCTGTGTATTGTTTTTATAGGTAAATGAATAAATAACTGCTTTGAGCCTATGGCAGGGAAGAAAAGGACTAGGTAAGGAAAACTAAACAGAATGCTGGAAGAAAGAAGGGTAGAATCAGAGAGACACCGTGGAGCTGCCGCCAGAGATAAACATGCTGAAACTTTGCTGGTAGGCCACAACCTGGTGATGATATACAGATTAATAAAAATGAGTTAAATTAAGATATAAGAGTTAGCCAATAAGAAACTAGAGTGAATGGGTCAAGCAGTGTTTTAATTAATATAGTTTTGTGTGGTTATTTTGGTTCTGGCCGTCCAGGAAGAACACGCAGCATCCTCCTACATTAGTGTTTGTTGTACATATTCATAAATAATTCTGCCCGTTTCTCTTGCAAAACTTCTCTTTTGGGAAGTAAAATATGAGATATGTGCTATTCATTGGAAATTTAATTTAACTCTATACAAAACAACTTTCACTCCACCCTTAAGTTGACATGAAGAAAAAGAACAGTCATTTATGGAGTAAATGAAGGGAAAATACCAGTCAGGCTACTCTGTCGTTAGGAGATTATTCTCATGTTTTAATGATAATCATAACATTTCTTAACTGAAGGCCTCAGACAGTAACATTAAGTTTCAAAAGTTTCCATCCTTACTCAATACCACTTTGAGATCTGATCAGCTAATACCATGGTATCTCCAGTGTTTACAAATTACCATTTACATAGTTACATCTGAGTCATTAATTTTCAAGAGTCACTCTTTTCCATGAAAGTACCTAAGTTACATTCCTTTTGTATAACAGAGTACCCTAAAGCATACAATTCAAAGAGAAAGTACAGTTTTGGGTTCATAGTCCCATAATGATACAGTCCTTTACGGCAGGGATGTCAATGCAATAGTAATTTGAAGCAGCTGGCACATTGCTCCTGGAATAAGGAAACAGAGCAACAACAGAGTAGGACCAGGCTAGAAAGCCTCTAAAGCCTATTTCCAGTGAACAACTTCTTCTAGTATAGTCTGCACATTCTAAAAGTTCCATGACCTTTCCAAATAACAACTGGACCAAACATTCAAGCCAAGGACCCCAGGGTGAATATTTCCCATTCAAAACGAAAGAATCCCAGCCACGGTTGCATTTGCTAATGGTGCCCATTTCATGCATAAAAACTCAGTACAACTTTTAAAGCCTCATTGTCT